AGAATGTGAGAGGTATTGTGTGGTGATACAAATTTTGTCATGGATGGAGAACTGGATAATGCTAGGAAAGACCCTGATCAATCCCATAGGAGAGACAGTGACAAACTGGCGGATAAATGTTTCAAATACATGATTGTATGATCCTTGGAGACTTTTACATGAGGGTGAAAGAGATTTTACTTATTACTCTATTTAAAAAAACAAGTATTCTAGGCTGGACAGGTTTATGGTTCAGAGTACTTTAATCACACACATCTTGAAATCTGATAGCTTAGATATTAATGATATTAATGCTCCAGTCATAATGCATATAGACAAAACTATATCTTTAATCCCAAATAGAACTTAGGCGATTATTTGTTAGATGATGTTGAAAATAGGTCATTGGCAGAGAGGGCTTTGAGTGATTATTTTTTAGACAATGCTTCATCTGAGGTTCCTGGCGAGGTGGCTTGGAATGCACATAAGGCTGTGTTGCGAGGTAATTTTATTTCTAGAGAGTCTCACCTGAAGAGAATCAATAATAACAATCTGAGAACAGTGGAAAAAGAACTGTATAATTTGAATCAGGCAAATAAATTTGGTCCATCAGCTTCCCTATCAGCAATGATAGGAGAAATTAAGGCATAGAATTCAGAACTTTCACAACCCTCTGAGGTAACAATTGATAAATTCTTGGATAGAGTGACATTGCCTCGGTCTTCCCCAGACAATTTGGAAAGCTTAGAGTGTGACATATAGGCTGAAGAGATAGCTGAGCCAATCAAACTTATGCCATCTGGAAAGGCCCCTGGTCCTGATGGATTCACCATTTTATATTATAAAACTATGCTCAGGGCCTGGGACATTGTTTTTAAGAATAATAGCCATAATATAAGATTATATAGAGCAATGCCAATTGAATCATTGAAAGACCATATGCCATCTTTGAATATAGAATTATGGAAAAAATACTCTATAACAAATTTAGATAGCCATTCTTTAATTTGAAAAATTGAAACTTAAGTATGGACTAATGAATGACTCTGAATCTGAATGCATATTGATTATTAAAAAAATGAAAATAACTAAATAACCTATCAGAAACTAATAAAAACTATAGGTCATTAGAGATATCAACACTGGAAAAAGTCTATTTTGTATGATCCAAACAGAAAGGGTACAATATCTATGTGTTATTCACTTTACAACGCCAAACCTATAGTTAAATTGAAACATACGGTGTCATAGGAGACGCAGTTAGGTACACAATATGAGCTTGAGGAATGGTTCAGTTTCTTTAAAGCACTAAAAGGAATTTCTTTTTGTACTGACAATTTAGAAAATCATTACAAAAGTTTATATCGCTGGTACCTGGCTCTGTCTAGACTGCACAATATGAACAATATGTACTCTGACTGGTGTTGTAGGAGTATAGGAAATATGGCCCATATATGGTGGTATTGTTCCAAAATAACTAAATACTGGAAAATGATTCACGACTTAATTGTTTAAGTGGATCGGTCTATTGGTATCTCTACCTCAGAACTTGCACTATTAAAAAATTGAACAGATAAAATAATAGTAGGCCACATCCTGATTGTTGCTACCTCATGCTTACCACAGTATTGGAAATCCAAAAATGTACCATCACTTTTTGAATTTAATCTTAGATAATAAAGCACACAAACTGTCATGCAGGAAAATTATGCATTCATTTACAAAACTAAAATGTAATTGGGATAAATGGGAAGAAGAAATTAAAAAAGTTTAATGTTTATAAAATAAGTTTATTGTTAAACTTTATTATTGTACAATTACTGTTCATATACGTCATTTTGTTTGCTATTAAAATGGTTGGATGCCCTTTTCCACTTCCAAGTTCCCCGTACCTTTCCTACCCTGAATAGAATGTTTGTCTATTGATTATAATTTGTTGAAAAATGTCTAAACCAAAAATATATAAATAATGAAACATTTATAATAATTCATAAGACTAATATCAGGAACTGGGCAGTATAGAATCACAACAATAAGTCCTGGATTATGGAAATTTAAATACAGGGAGTGCAGAATTATTAGGCAAATGAGTATTTTGACCACATCATCCTCTTTATGCATGTTGTCTTACTCCAAGCTGTATAGGCTCGAAAGCCTACTACCAATTAAGCATATTAGGTGATGTGCATCTCTGTAATGAGAAGGGGTGTGGTCTAATGACATCAACACCCTATATCAGGTGTGCATAATTATTAGGCAACTTCCTTTCCTTTGGCAAAATGGGTCAAAAGAAGGACTTGACAGGCTCAGAAAAGTCAAAAATAGTGAGATATCTTGCAGAGGGATGCAGCACTCTTAAAATTGCAAAGCTTCTGAAGCGTGATCATCGAACAATCAAGCGTTTCATTCAAAATAGTCAACAGGGTCGCAAGAAGCGTGTGGAAAAACCAAGATGCAAAATAACTGCCCATGAACTGAGAAAAGTCAAGCGTGCAGCTGCCACGATGCCACTTGCCACCAGTTTGGCCATATTTCAGAGCTGCAACATCACTGGAGTGCCCAAAAGCACAAGGTGTGCAATACTCAGAGACATGGCCAAGGTAAGAAAGGCTGAAAGACGACCACCACTGAACAAGACACACAAGCTGAAACGTCAAGACTGGGCCAAGAAATATCTCAAGACTGATTTTTCTAAGGTTTTATGGACTGATGAAATGAGAGTGAGTCTTGATGGGCCAGATGGATGGGCCCGTGGCTGGATTGGTAAAGGGCAGAGAGCTCCAGTCCGACTCAGACGCCAGCAAGGTGGAGGTGGAGTACTGGTTTGGGCTGGTATCATCAAAGATGAGCTTGTGGGGCCTTTTCGGGTTGAGGATGGAGTCAAGCTCAACTCCCAGTCCTACTGCCAGTTCCTGGAAGACACCTTCTTCAAGCAGTGGTACAGGAAGAAGTCTGCATCCTTCAAGAAAAACATGATTTTCATGCAGGACAATGCTCCATCACACGCGTCCAAGTACTCCACAGCGTGGCTGGCAAGAAAGGGTATAAAAGAAGAAAATCTAATGACATGGCCTCCTTGTTCACCTGATCTGAACCCCATTGAGAACCTGTGGTCCATCATCAAATGTGAGATTTACAAGGAGGGAAAACAGTACACCTCTCTGAACAGTGTCTGGGAGGCTGTGGTTGCTGCTGCACGCAATGTTGATGGTGAACAGATCAAAACACTGACAGAATCCATGGATGGCAGGCTTTTGAGTGTCCTTGCAAAGAAAGGTGGCTATATTGGTCACTGATTTGTTTTTGTTTTGTTTTTGAATGTCAGAAATGTATATTTGTGAATGTTGAGATGTTATATTGGTTTCACTGGTAATAATAAATAATTGAAATGGGTATATATTTGTTTTTTGTTAAGTTGCCTAATAATTATGCACAGTAATAGTCACCTGCACACACAGATATCCCCCTAACATAGCTAAAACTAAAAACAAACTAAAAACTACTTCCAAAAATATTCAGCTTTGATATTAATGAGTTTTTTGGGTTCATTGAGAACATGGTTGTTGTTCAATAATAAAATTAATCCTCAAAAATACAACTTGCCTAATAATTCTGCACTCCCTGTAGTAAATGGAGTGTGGTCACAATTGTACAACCTAAAGGTGCAAAAGTTGTGATGCAAGGACGTATCCCTGCTCCATATACACTCTGATACCAAACGTTATAAGTATAAAAATAGGTTTTCCTGGAGTGTTCCAAGTTGTAAGCTGAGCTAATATAATGCACATTGTGCACGTTATACACGTTATTTTGAAGGAGCAAAGCATGAAAAAAACATGAAGCACTTGAGGCAAGTAAACCTACAGTGTGTCACCAATATCTCTTGGAAAATATATAGCTATTAGATGTCAGATTGGCAACTAAAAGTAATTTTCTTTCTTTGGGACATGGATGAAAACCAATGACAATCAATCTATGTATGTATCTATCTATCTGTCTGTCTGTCTATCTATCTATCTATTTATTTATCCATTATCTGTCTGTCTGTCAATCCGTCTGTCCGTCCGTCCGTCTGTCTATCTATCTATCTAGCATTAATGGTGGTCAGCCTCCTTTACTGACTTGGTTTTGTCCAGTTATTGATGATTTAAGGTAACAACAGAGGACTTTAAACATATACATTTCATATAACTATTGTAGTTTGCTACAGTGGCTTGCTCGATGGACCATAGTGAGGAGTTTGAAGGATGCATGTTGTTTAGTTGGGTGACACTATAATTGTTCAGAGATTGCAGAGATTTGGTTGAAAATTCTTTTCCATGTGATTAACCACTTCACTTCTAGAAATGAGTATACACATTTTTATTGTACTTTGCAGAATGAAATGTATACCATAAAGTCCACTAACCCTCATTTAAACTCTAGGAATGAATACCAGTAGAAGAACTCATTACTCTTCCAATGGCATATTGACTTAAGTGTGCTACAAATGTCAACTCCCACATGTTTCCAAAAAGTACAGGAAGTTTCAATGGGTCATATTATTCTTGCAGTCAGGGATAGGGGAGTTGTGAATGAAATGACTGTGGCAATTTTAAAGAACTTTATTTTAGAAATATATGGTTTTACTGTATTTACTTTATGTGGTAATTATGCTTAAACGCAGACATTCCTTTTAGATTCTATTGCCATTTTTAGTAAACTGTTGTAATGGAGTAAAACATTTTTGCTTTTATACTAGTATTTCAGACCCTGTGTGAAAGACACTGCATACTGTCTAAAGCATTTCATTTACCAAATATTTTCTTATAAAGGCTGAAAGAATAAGTGAAAATTAAAGACAGTGTAAATTTACATAATTTTTATTTTCAAGTTTGTCTGAAAAGCAATCTGTAAACAAAAATGCTGTGTTAATATATATTTTTTTAACATTAGCCATTAGTGATGTCCCGAACGGTTCTCTGAACGGTTCGCCGTGGACGGCGAACATAAACATAAACTTTGACCCTGTACCTCACAGTCAGCAGACACATTCCAGCCAATCAGCAGCAGACCCTCCCTCCCAGACCCTCCCACCTCCTGGACAGCTCACTAAGAATGCAGCTTCACAATGAATGTAAAATGGATGCTGTCCAGGAGGTGGGAGGATCTGGGAGGGAGGGTCTGCTGCTGATTGGCTGGAATGTGGCTGCTGACTGTGAGGTACAGGGTCAAAGTTTATGTTTATGTTCGCCGTCCGCGTCAAACCGTTCGGGACATCACTATTAGCCATGCATGACTCACTTCAAAAAAAAGTTACACTAATACTTTTTCAATAAAAAATATGCTCAGTAGTGAAGGGGTTAAGCATGGTGCTGCAATTTGACCAGCAAGAGTCTGTACAGAGCATTGTTGTGACCTAGATGCAAAGGTACCAGAACGTAGCATTAGTAGTACTCTCAACACAGATTTTAATTTTCTTCTGGCAGCATGTGAATTCTAATTTTGCAG